GTGTGTGTGTGTGTGTTTCTGCCTCTGTGTGTGTGTGTGTGTGTTTCTGCCTCTGTGTGTGTGTGTGTGTGTGCATGAGGTGCATCTGCTCCATGTGCACGGCGCCATGAAAGCCATCAGTGCCTCCAATCTGCCTCTCCATCCGAACGGCGGCAGCGGGCTGGCAGGGCGGGGTCAGAGGTCGCTGTGGGCAAAGTGGCCTTGGCTGATTTTACACCTGATTAGGAAACACATGCAGGGAGACGAGACATATGCTGCTGAGGGAGAGGAGGAGGAGAGCTGTCAGCCCAGACACACAGAACCAGTTCCGGTTCTGCTGGAGGCCGGAGATAAAACAAAGTCTGGCCCAGATTGGGATGTAGAACCTGGACGGTTCTGCGGGATCTGGCAGAATCCTCTTCTTCTGCTACCCAGCGCTGGAAGCCAGGGTTCTGGTGGTTCTACTGGAGCTGCAGAAGATGTTGGGTCTCTGAGGAGCAGACCAACCCACAGATCACTGGTCCAGCCCGGTCCAGTCAGCGCCTCCAGTCAAATGGCCGGCTGCCTGCCTCACGGTCTCTGCGGCCCATCTCTGCCGTATTGGGCCGGCTGCCCAGAACCACCTTTGGGCCCAATTACTGAGCAGTCTGTGTCTGGTGGACCCGCTTCCTCCCGGTCCCGGATGGCGGCCCGCTTCCCCCCGGTCCTCTCGCTAACGAGGTCCGGGCTGGGCCAGCGCGTCCCTCAAGCTGTCTGCTGACCTTGGCCTTCTGTCCGCCTGGCAGAGGACGGCAGGAAGTCCCCGTCCTCGGCAGGAAGTCCCCGTCCTCGGCAGGAAGTCCCCGTCCTCGGCAGGAAGTCCCCGTCCTCGGCAGGAAGTCCCCGTCCTCGGGTAGGACGCCACGCGTTGGCCCAGTTCTGCGCTCGGATGCCTTCAGGCGCCAACCTAAAGGCGCGGTCCAGTTGGGCGGCGCCGGGATGGTAATTGAATCAAAGTGTGGAGTTGTGACTGGAAGCGGTCCATGTTGGCCGGTGGCGTCTGACAGATGGAGACGCTTCCTTCATGTAGGACAAACAAGTTTCTCATGTTGAGAGCAGCAGGAGACGGAGAGTCGACCCAATCGGGTTTCACTGCAGCAGCACCTCAGCAGAACTCATCAACTGCTGCAGACGTGGCTCCAACCAATGTCTGTAAAAAGTATCCACCCCTCTGGGTGTCTTATTTTATAAACTAATCAGGATCAACAAAATTTGGGGTTTTATTTTAAAAGATGACAAGGCCCCAGTTTAATGTCGAAATGAAAACTGATTTCTACCAAATAATGAAAAAAATGTAACATTAAATAAGTGGTTGCATAAATATTCACCCCCTTTAAAGGGACTGACCTACCTCAGCAGAGGTCCAGCCAACTGGCGCTGGTCATCCCACGACTGGACAGACATCAGCCTAGTGTTGTAATTGCCTGGTTCTGGTTCTGGAAGGTCCAATCACTGGTTCATCAGGATTCCTGGCTGCTGTGACAGCAGGAAGACTCAGAGTGCATCGTTCACTCCTGTTCAGTCCGCTTCGATCCGACTCCAGCCTGTCTGCTTGGAAATCCGGTTCAGTTGGTGAGGTGTGAACACCAATCGACCTCTGACCTCTGGTCCTCCAAACCTCGGTCTGGGTTTGGTTGAAGTGATCCCTGGTTTGGTTTGAATGCATCTGTGAACGGCAAGTGGACCAGAGACCGCTCCAAAAGCAGGAAGTGGACTACAGCGCAGAGCATTCTGGGTAAAAACATCCAAGGGGCTGAATACTTTTTGTTCCCACCGCAGGAGGGTAGCTGACTCTGGAGGGCAACTAGGGGCCAGGAGGGTCAAACATTGTTCCTCAAAGAGGTGAAAAAACCGACCAATCAGCTTTGAGCTTTTATAGAGCACTTACAAGAAAAGCAGAAATCAATGAAAACCTTCAGCAGATGCAGTTTCTGGAAGCAATAGCAATAATAATAATACACCATGTTCCAAATTATTATGCTACTACTGATATTTTCTCAGATTTTCCTTAATGGTCGATGCAAATGATGGTCAGTATAATGTTCAAGTCATGAGCTATTAAAGTATAAATCTAATTTTACTGAACAAACCTCCAATGAGAACAGTATTTCTTTCACAAATAAAAAACTCAAACTGTTCCCAATTATTATGCACAGCAGATTTTCTAACCATTTTATGGATTATAAAGTGCAAACGGTCATTTTTTGAATGTTCAGCATTACGTGGTCACAGGTAGTGAAATCAAAGCCATTTCAATGTAAAACATCCTGACAGACAGCTGCATGTTAACGTAGGACCTTCTTTATATCAGCTGATCGATTCCTGCTTCCACTGAACTTGTGAGTTTGTGGATCGTTTCTGCTTTAATTTCTCTGCAGGATGTCAGAAAACCTTCCAGAGCCGCTGATTGACCTGAACTGCATCTTGGTCTGAACCCTCAGATCTTCTGCTGGAGGAAACTCCAGAGGTTCTCAGTAGGTCAGAGGTCAGAGGAGGATGGTGTCCGCACCATGAGTTTTATGCCCATAGCAGCCAATGACACAGAGGTATTCCTTGCAGCTTTCTTTGTCATGCATGAAGATGATTTTGCTACTGAAGGTCCGGCTCTTCTTTTTGAACCATGAAAGAAAGTGATCAGTCAGAAAGTCCAGGTGCTTTGCTCAGGTCATTTTCACACCTTCAGGGGACCTAAAGGGGCCGACCAGCTCTCTCCCCATGATTCCGGCCCACAGCATGACTCCACCACCTCCTTGCTGACGTCACAGCCGTGTTGGGACGTGGAGGCCGTCCACCACCAATCCACTACTGCGTCCATCTGGACCGTCCAGGGTTGCACAGCAGTCATCAGTGAACAAGTCTGTCTGAAAATGAATCTTCATGTTCGGCTGGGCCCACTGCCACCGTTTCTGCCTGTGAACCTGGTTAGAGGAGGCCGAACAGTGAGTTCATGCACCGCAAGCCTCTGGAGGATCCGACACCTTGAGGTTCCACCAGCAGCTTCAAATAACTGTTTGCTGCTTTGTAAGGACATTTTAACAGCTGCTCTGTTAATCCGATGAATTTGTCCAACAGAAACCTTCCTCATGCCTTTATCTGCACAAACCCATCTTTGTTCTGAATCAGCCACAAATCTCTTCACAGTACGATGATAGCGCTTCAGTTTTCATCACATATCTAATGTTTTCATACTTTTCATATGGCACTGCACTACCTGATGATTTTCAGCAGAGATCCTTTCTCTTTCCAATATTACCTGAAACCTGAGGCTGATTAATAATGTGGAACATCCTTCAGCAGATTTCCTTTAACTGAGCTCACCTGACAAACTAATCAACCAGCTCTCTGAAATTAATTACAGAAACCTGAGAGACAATACCATTTATAAATGTAATAGCACAACAAAAAATGTAATCTTTATGACATTTAAATCCAATTTGCATAATAATTTGGAACACGGTGACCACGGTAATGATTGTAGTAATAATACTATTACTCTAAGTAATAGTTATGGTATTTAACGTAGCATTACTAGTGGTCGTAATAGTAATAATAATAGTTGCCATAAACCAGGATGAACCAGGTGAGCCGGGTCACTGGGAAAAGGAAAAAGATATTGAATTTTGAAACAGAAGTTGGTAGATCTCCTGGATGCTGGTGACTGCTGAAGCCCCGCCCACCACCTGAACGATCCCATCCTGCTCTGCTCAAACCAAAGCTGACTCTGATCATGTGATTTCTGCTGCCAGGTGTGAAGGCCTTCATGTTCCAGGTGCAGGACCTGAAGGAGGGCGTGGTTGTCTACCATCACTCCGACAGTGACTCCACCCGTGACCACATCATCTTCCGCATCAGCGACGGCCATCACAGCATCCGCCACAAGTTCCCCATAAACATCCTGCCAAAGGACGACTCCCCGCCCTTCCTCATCAACAATGTGGCGGTGGAGGTGCCGGAGGGCGGCGCCGTGCGGCTGCAAGAGTTTCTGCTGCTGGCCACCGACATGGACTCCAGCGACGACCTCATCCTGTACCAGATGGTGAGCGCCCCTCGCGCAGGCCGGCTGGTCAGGAAGAGCTCCACCCTCCAGACAGGTGAGACTGAGGTGAACCTGACTGAGGTAGAGGGACTGCCCTCACTCTACCAGGTGAGAGCATCTGTAGACTCAAAGTCTTCCAGCCTCTTAGATCAGGAGTGGGGAAGTCCGGTCCTCGAGATGCACCATGCTGTAGCTTTTAGATGCATCCCTGCTCCGACACACCTGAGTCAAATGGATGAATCCTTCTCCAGCAGTCAGTCAGCTATGCAAAGGCCAGGTAGCAAGACATTCATTTGGTCCAGGTGTGTTAGAGAAGGGATGCATCTAAAAGCTGTGGCATAGTACGTCCTTAGGCCTGGAATCCACTGGTTTAGAGAAACCGTCCAGCTTCATGTCCTGCAGTTTGTTCAGGCGACTCTGGTTTATGTCCTGCAGGTGTCCCTGTGGACAGCTTCCTGCAAAGAGACCTGATTCAGGGGCAGATCTCCTACCAGCACTCGGGAGACGAGACCTTTGAGGACTCCTTTGACATCTTGCTCTCCGACAGCCACCAGCCGCCCAATCTGTCGCAGACATACGTGAGTCTGACAGCCTCTGGGGTGTCCTCTCAGGTTTCCTGTCCTCTCAGGTTTCCTGTCAGGTTTCCTGTCCTCTCAGGTTTCCTGTCAGGTTTCCTGACCTCTCAGGTTTCCTGTCAGGTTTCCTGTCCTCTCAGGTTTCCTGTCAGGTTTCCTGACCTCTCAGGTTTCCTGTCAGGTTTCCTGTCCTCTCAGGTTTCCTGTCAGGTTTCCTGACCTCT